TTTTTGTTCCTGATTTACAGCATCTGCATGTCTTTCGGTTTTTATTTAAACTTTAGGTGGGTTTATTTTCTATTATCACAACCAAGTGTTGTTTATCCACAAATTCTCATCTTCCGCTGTGATCCCCAGCTAGCAATGAAGAATGTTGTTGCACCTCTCTGGGGTAGCACAGTAGAAATCAAGCTCCACTATTTCTGGAATCCTCACAAAAGTAAAGATTTTAAAAAAGCATACAGAATTACCGAATTTACCTGTCTTTTAGATCCAGTGTGACACAAAACACAGACCAAGTTTTTCTACTTAACAAGAATTACTATTTCTTCCACATTAAATAGATTCTAATGACAGAGAAACAATTGAGCTCATCACATAGAATTCTAGTTAAAACTCTAACTCCATTCTAAACTTCCCTGTCTGTATGTGCATGCAGATAGACACAAGAAAAGAACATGGGTTTAATGGGTAGAGGGAAAGTTCAGTGGTCCCTGTCTGCAGGGTATCCTGACAACACTGACTGTAAATTATTTTCTTCCGGTGCGTGGACCTCCAGAGTCTGTGTGTAGTAGCAACTTTCAAAACCAGAAATCCATGTATTAGCACACCAACTGCATGCATGGAAGCTCAAAACTGCTCTTCTGCTGCAGAGTTTTAGAGTGAACACTGTTTGCACAAATGGAGGTTTCCATTTGCCCTTCAGAAAACTATTTCTTGATCTTCCTTGTCCTGGTAGTTTCACTCATTTGCAGGAGGCACAGGGTAACTGGTTCACCTTAAATGTCACTGACTAATTAATTAAAAATCCTAGCTAACAGCAACTGATGAGCAGAAATAAAGTGACTATCTTCAGGCTTCTGATGCTTTTTACTACACAACAGAAACACAGCTCCTTCCCTTCCAAGGGTTAAATGCTTCTCCCCTGAACATTCACATTCAAGTTGTTTAGCTACCCTGGAGCCTTTCACCTAGTTGTTGGCAGGCAGGAGGCTTTTGACATTGTTAACTGGTCACTAGTCCACAGACCAATCAGTTACTTGTTGCTGGCCAAACTTCATTCATACACAGTGTCCTGGGTCTGGCTCATCTGTAACTAGGCTTTCCCCATTGAACGAACAGCTGTGTAAATAACACTTAAAACGAGTGTCAAGTAACTTTCTTTTTAAAAAATGCTGGAATCCTTCAATGATGGCCTTGGGGAGTGTTGCTGAACAAAGAAACCTGGGGGTGCAGGTGCATAGTTCCTTGAAATTGGAGTCACAGGTAGACAGGGTAGTGAAGAAGGCTTCTGGCATACTTGCCTTTATTGGTCAATGCATTGAGCACCGGAGTTGGGAGGTCATGTTGCAGCTGTACAGGAAATTGGTAAGACTAGGTTTAGTATACTGTGTACAATTCTGGCCTTCATGCTATAGGAAAGATGTTGTGAAACTTGAAAGGGTTCAGAAAAGATTTACAAGGATATTGCAGGGATTGGAGGGTTTGAGCTATAGGGAGAGGCTGAATAGGCTGGGGCTTTTTTCCTGGAGCGTAGGAGGTTGAGGGGTGACCTTGCAGAAGTTTAGAAAATAGTGAGGGGCATGGATAGGATTAACAGCCAGGGTCTATTCCCCAGGGTGGGGGAGTCCATAGCTAGAGGGCATAGGTTTAAGGTGAGAGGGGGAAGATTTAAAAGGGATCTGAAGGACAACTTTTTCTCACAGGAGGTGGCGCTTGTATGGAATGATCTACCAGAGGAAGTGGTGGATGTGGGTACGATTACAACATTTAAAAGGCATCTGGATGGTTATATGAATAGGGAGGGTATAGGAGGGATATGGGCCAAATGCTGGCAAATGGGACTATATGTGGGATATCTGGTCAGCATGGATGAGTTGGACCAAATGGTATCCGTGCTGTATGACTGTTTCTCTTTATAATCATTGGCTGTTAAGCCAGTCCTTTCTCCATTTCAGTCCGTAATCAAAAATACAGAAATGTGAAATGATATGATCTTCCCAGTGTGACTGTGGTATTTGTTTCCACAAATTGTTACTGTAAGGTAAAAATGTTTTCATGACTTTTGTAATCTTCTCGCTTAATGTGCAGTTTCTTCTGCTCTTCTCAGGAGTGGACCCGCAGTAACCATTCCTTGTGACATATTGCCATATCCATTATCTCAGTTTTACATTTGGGGGCTATCCTCTGGACAGAAAGGGCCTGCCATTTCCTCATCATGAACTTTACAAACATCTGAAAGGACAACATGGGCTAAATGGGTTTTGCAAGCACTCTCTCATCAGCCTTCTTGCAAGCACACTGGACCGAGGGGATGGATACCCAGTTGCACCATTTCACTGCCAGAACAATGCTGAACAAACATTTTGTTACATTTTTTTTTACAATAAGGTTACATTTTTTCAGTTTAAAGTCTCCTACATCAGAATTGTGCCTTTCATGACAAAGCATTTCCATTTCATTTGACTTATTTTCTGCTAGAATGATGTTTTGCGAGGATTTGCATTTTTTCAGTTTGTTTTCTCTGAACATAGTCAGTGATTCAAAACTTTTGCTGTAGGTGTTCACTCACAAAAATGGGTAAGTTTTCTTAGTGATATAATTTTTAAAGCCATATAACTGATTTCCTCAGAAGATAAGGGCATGATCATAATGTCTACATTGAGAAATATGATGGGTTTCAAGATACAGTCTCAAAAAAGTTAATGCAAAGCTTTTGGATCTTTCAATTCCCTCTCACCCCTAGTTATAAACCCAACATGTTTTACAATGTAATACATCTGCCTCTCTCATTCAAGAAATTTATTAATGTCAGATAAAAACAGACAATGCTGGAAATACTCAGCAGGTCTGGCAGCATATGTGAAGACGGAAAGCCGAGTTAAGTTTTCGGGTCAAGGATATTTCTTCAAAGCATTGTATTTAACTGGTTCCTTCACCATTTTCAAATGTGCCGTCTTTAATTTCTATCCATTGAGTTTATATACTGGTGCCTTGTTCCTCCTCCCAAAATCTGTAATCTCACAATTATCCACATTCGTCTGCACTTGCCTGATTTCCTGATGGTTTTATACTTTTCCTGGTCAAATCACATTTTGTGTCATCAGCATCCTTTGAAGTCAGGTTTCTTATGCTTAAACCTAACTTTTTCTGATATTTCACCTGTGAGACATTTAATGAAATGGAATCAGAAGATCCAGATATATCGCTACATTTTTTAGTCATTTCTTACACACAGTATACTGGAGTTTCCAAACAAGACTTCCCTTTACAAATTGCCATCATCTTCCCTTAATTAATCCATGTATTTTGAAATCTCATTAATTTTATCTTTACTCATGAATTTTAGGAGTTTCTCCCAGATGATGTTTAACTGTCTTGATTTATGATTACTCTGGTCAGTTTCTCTTTGAATAAAATTGTTTCAACAAGGTTGTGTATTTAAAGAGACTTTGACAATTGTGATTTTTTTTTAAAAGTGCTGGAGAAACTCAGTAGTTCCAGCAGCATCTGTAAAATGAGAAACCATTAACCTTTTGAGTCTGAACTCTGGGTTCTAAAGAAGAGACATATCAGACTCAAACCATTAACTCTATTCTGTCAGCATAGATGCTGACAGACCACCTGAATTTCTTCATCTATGTTTGTATTTCAGATTTCCAGCATCTGTGGCATTTTGCTTTTGTGACCTATGCCTTTGTCTGCATTCTGAGTACTTTCAATGGCAAGGATGCAACCATCAGAATCCAGTTGCTGAACTATTCAGAGTTTTAATTACTTCTATCAATTGTTCACGTCCACATCTACATTGTCACTTTCAGTTTTATTTGTTTAACAGTTAACAAAGTTTTTGTTTAATATCTTTACGATGCCATTATCTTCCACAGTTAGATACCCTTCTTCAGAGAGGTTTTCATATAATTTTCTAACAATTTCTGATCATCTTTTCTATCTTCCACTGCATTTTCTATATTTCCCACATTTTACTTCCATGCTGACGAGGCCTCCTTTTATCATGTGCCTCCTTTTTGAATTTTTTTTAGTCTTTTGTTTACTTATGGTTCTCTGTCTATTTATGGTTCTCTGTCTATTTATGGTTCTCTGTCTATTTATGGTTCTCTGTCTATTTATGGTTCTCTGTCTATT